TTAGGTTTTGTTTTCTTCTTCTTCTATTCTTAAGGTAGGGACTTCTTCAACCTCCTTGTATAATTCTAAGCATTGTTATGTGTTCCTTGAAAAGTATTGTGATTTTGGAGTTGGGGGTTTGATTTAGGGTTTGGTTTCTTAAATGTAAAATAGGGGTTTTCGAACAAGTTCTTGAGAAATATTGTGGGAATGAGTGTATTGTTGGGTTGTGTTGAAATATTGGAAAATTCTCCTTTAAATGTGTTTTTGAAAGTAAATGATGTTTTATTGGAAATCATTAGTGTTTGACCTATGAATGAAGGGAAAGATGTTGAGTTTTGAAAAGATAAAATGAATGTATCTGTTGATGATGAGAGTGGAGTTGTATATGTATTATCTTTTGAAATTTATGAAATTACAATTGTTGATGGAAATTTAGCTTTTGTATAGAGATCTGTTTTGGGCTATCGATGAAAGATATCTTGATTGTTGTAATAATTGCATGAGGATTAGGTTAATTAAAACCAACTATTCATACATCTTGCATTGAACATTGTTTCATATTCATACATTAAAAATGTATCATTTTGAGAAAAAAATGGGTAAATACCTTGGTGAATTTGGTTAAGGAATGTGGTTGTGGTATTTCTATGTTGGCTTGTGTGTCTTTGGTGAAAGTCCAAAATCCCGCGCAGTTAGGTACTGATCCTTCCTGTTAGTACTGGTAAAATGACTTTAGTAGTGGTTGTATAGCCTACTGATAGACAAGTACCTAGAGATTCCTAGTATTGTGTATCCACTGCCTTGCTTTATAATTTTAAAAAGTATTATTTTACGAGTTGATATATATATATATATATATATAACCATGACATTGCATTGTTTTGAAAGAGAAAGTATAATGTTTTGGTAAATGGCATGCATATATATTCACTCTATGACTTTGTTAAGCATCATACAATGTGCTTAAATTTTCTTTACTAGGCCTTAACTCACTCTATGTGGAAATTAACTTTCAGGTGCTGATGGTATGCCTCCACCAAGGAATTAGCTTGGGAGGGATCATGGAGTTGAAGGCTCATTTTGTTTTCTTTTGTTGTAAAGATATGTTGTACAAGCTCAGGGCCTTTTACTTGTTTTGGGCTTGACCCACTTTTGTTGAAACCAAACATCGACTTAGAAATATGTAGCCACTAAGGCATGAACCTATATGTATTCATTTTTATTTCCATACATTGATATATGCCACATGCTATAGATTTAGGATGTAGGGCTTATGAATGTATAAATGCATATGGCATCTTCTGTTATCCTTGCAAGAGAGCTAATGAAAGCATGAAATGTTATGGAACTTCCTTACATTTAGCTTACTTGTGAGATTAGCTATTGTTAATTATTTTGGGGCATCACATAATTTGACTTGGGGTGTTCAAGGATAGGTAATAATAGAACTATAACACATGGGTGTTCTTTGGGGTGTCACACTAACCTCACAAATTCAATCCCCAAATTGCCACCTTCTTTCCATGATTGCACCGACCGCAATCACTAATTCATTGTCTAATTCAACCTTTGTGGGGTGACATTTTGTAGGTAGCATATAGAAATATATATATATATATACACATCCCTAAAAGGGTGTATATTATGTCATTTGTGAGTTTAATTATCACAAATAACATAACTCAATACTATAGAAGTCATAATTATAAAAAAATAATAATAATAAAATAAAGTAAAATAAAATAAAAAGTTATAACCAAACATGTAAGGTATAACAAAGAACTTTGGAATTATAACCAAAATAATATCATAATCAATATTACAATGAATCATAACTGACAACACAAAAGGTTGAACCAAACATCACAAAGATCATAACGAGGGTGCATATAATACATCCTCAAAAAGGGTGTGTACCATAGAATTTCCCTATATACAGACATAGTAATGTCCTCTATTGGTGGATGTGGTTGTGGATGACATATAAATTCATATGGGTTGGGCTTCTCTTGTGTTGGCCGTCTCAACTTAAGAGAGCGTTTGGGTTTGGTAGATTCATTTTGAAATTGATTTCAATGATCTAAATCGTTCACTTTCTAGGACTCTTTAAGTAGAATATTCATGCAAAAAATCAAGATGATTGAATATCGATAGCTATATATTTGAATCAAATTTGTATTACAAAAAATGAATAGCTATTCTTGAAATTATATTTGTCGTCCATTTTTTTAAAATAAATATAATTCAAATATATAACTACTAATGTTCAATCATCTTGATTTTTTGTATAAATATTCTACTGAATAATTTTTAAAAAGTGAACGGTTCGAATCATCGAAATTAGTACATAAATGAGCATACTAAGACCAAACACTCTCTCAAGTTGAAATGACAACTTGAAAGAAACCAAACCAAATTCATATATATATATATATGCAGTTCTATGGTTTCAAGTAGCCACCGTAATTATTTTCTTTGTGTATGTTTCAACTAAAATTCTAATTCTTTTTAGCTACTGTGAGACTCAGAAAATCTTCTCACATGGATTGTTGAAGAAATCCAACGAAGAGATGAGCTTAGCTCCATTAGATCGGCAAGGATGAACATAGTTGGTGCAACCCAACTAGGGTTGCCGGCCAGAGACACTGATGATAAAATTAGCCACTGGAGTCAGAGAAAGAAAATAAAGAAAATCAAGAGTATTTGTGTGTCAGGTGGCAAAGAGATGAGACATACCTATATTTATGGGGTGGTCTCCTTTTATAGATGGGTGTGATATTTGTCCCATGTGCTTCCTTGTTTGGGATGGGCCCATTGTCAGGCCTTGTTTCAGTTGATATATATATTTTTTTGGCTATACATATTTGATATCTTTGATAAATACATAACCATTAAGACCTATATAATTCTGTGTATGACTCAGTGTGGTACAATCTGCTAGTGTTATTAAATTATTTCTCAAATTGTGAAATAGAGTTGAATAGTTTTTGATGAAGTGTATATATGCACATGGGTTCTCTATGGGAGGAGGTGGTCAATGATGGTGCAGTAGGAATAGAAGGAGGTATGGTGGTGGGTCTGACAGAAGAAGATGAGAGGTAAAAAAATGAAAAGAAAAAAAAAAAGAAAAAGGATATTATTGGCATTTTCAATATTATTTTGCTAATGTTATGTTTTTCCATCCAATTCATAAACGGTAGATTAACGGTTAGAAGAGAGTGTTATAAAAAATTTTAAAATAGAAAAGTGGGATGTGATTTTAGAAAGTTGGAGTGCCAAAGTGATTTTAAAATTATTAAGGGTTGTCAGTATAATTTACCCTTATTATTTAGGGCAAATTACATATACACCCCTCGAGGTTTGGCTAAATTACAGATACCCCCTGAGGTTTCAGAAATTACATCCCGCTCCCTGAGGTTTGTATTTTCATAACAATTTACCCCCTGAGGTTTATATTTCATAACAAATTACCCCCTAATTTCTTATGCAAATATAGCATTCAGGGGGGAATTCGTAATTTCTCAAACCTCAGGGGGCATCTGTAATTTAGCCAAACCTCGAAGGGTGTATATGTAATTTGCCCTTATATTTATAACTACGTCACGTCATGCCCACTCGCAATGTAAGGCCATGCGTTATGGTGAAGAATTGCACGCACAACTTCTAACTATTAAAAAGTGGTTACTCATTATATCATAATAATAAGATAGATAATTTCATTTATTTGTTTTTTTTTTGTTGTTATTTTTATTCTTTATTTTTTTGGAGAAGTTTTTTGTGATGCACACAATGCATAAGACTTGGTGTACTTATCTTTATTTATTTTTTGATAAATTTTTGTTTTTTGGAGAAGTTTTTTGAAAAAAATTGTTGAAAACTTCAATTTAATAATTCTCTAAAGCATTCAGTTCAGTGAATTTTTATTTTTTTTTTATTTTTATGAGAGGACTTTCATTTGTGAAATAATTTGGTGAGAAATCCATTTATTATTTCAGAACACATTTTTGTTTTTAATTTTATCTCTTAATATATCTATTTCATTTTTTAAACTATATGTTTAATTAGTTTAATTATCCGTTCAAATATTTTATCTGTTTAATTTTTTTAAGTATCTGTTTAGTATTTGATTTGATTTGATTTTTTTATTTTTTTATTTTCATTATCTGTCAAATTTGTATCTATCCGATGCACACAAGGCATAAGACTTGGTACTTATCATCACGCTAAAGTAAGGACTTCTGGATAGATTTTTGTTTTTTTGTTTTTGTTTTTTTTTGAGAAGTTGAATTTTGTGAACAAAAGTACTTATCACGTTAAGTTCCCACTTCTAAGAACCTAAATAATATTATCCGGAGGTGTTTCACCACGACTAATTTTGTTGTCGTGATTGGCTTTTTTATTTTTATAAATTTACATTAAAAAAATTCATACTCTAGTCTAACCTATAAAAAAATATAAAAAATAAAAAAATGAAGAAATATATATTATCCACTCAAATAGCTGTAACATCAAAATTCGATTTCACCGACCTTACATCCACCGTTGGCAATGTGACAATTTTCATTTGATATAAAAATTCCTTTAATCCTTTTAGTTGTTTTAATAATGTCAGGTATATTAATCAAAGTATAAATAAACAACGCTGCTGCAGACCTCTAATTAGAGGTGCAGCCGTACAGCTCTAGTGAGCTGTCAAGCAATAAAAAAAAAAAAAAAGTGAAGTAAAAGACAAAAGAAGGGAAAGAAAAAGAAAAATTAGAGCTCCATTAGTGGTCTTTTTTTAGAGGTCTGAATCATTTTTCATAAATAAATATATTAACAAGATATAATGTGTTGAAATCCTATTTTTATTGACCATTAATACTTAGGCTCTTGAAATACTTTCCAATAATGAAAGGTATTATAATTTCAACCTTAGAGATGGTTGAAATTGTTAGAGTTGCGGTTTTGCTATTTTCATGCCCAAAACAATTTTTTTTTTTTGTCAAAATTACCACTTGTTAGTTCGTATTGAGGGCCTGTTTCCACCTCGAAAAAGTTGGAATTTAAAGTTTTCTATTTCACATAAAATTGTAACCCTTTGAATTAGATTTCCAGCAATGCCCGATTCGCCTCAATCTTTTGACCCCCAAAGCTCCTCTTTGCCTATAAATACTCCCCATCTCCTCCCTTTTCAAAGGGTTGAACTTTTTTAGCAAAATTGTGAGTTTCTTTGAGTGAAATTCCTTGCCTCCTCTGCTCTCATACCCTGGGCTCCGTAAATACACCCTCCCACAGCAACTCTAACAACTAAAAAATCATCTAAAGCTTGAAGAACTTGAACATAACAAGAACCTAAGCCTGAGGGAAGCAATCAAGCAAGTTTTACATATTTTATTCCCGTTTTCTTCAGTTATTGCAAACCAGCAAGTAAGTTCTCTTTTCTTTCAATTTTCAGTAGTTTTTACTTCATTTTTCATCATGTAATCATGGCTATGATGATAGGTTGCATGCATGTTCATCTACGTTAGCTATTTCGTTAGCTTTTCGCCTTATTACACATATTTTGTTTAGTTTATCAAAACAGTATGTTTAGGCTACATAAATCATATAATATTCATGCAAATAACCCGGTTTAATCATCGTATAATATTCAACATATTTAGCTTTTTGTGTTGGTTGCTTTGTTTGCATTAAATCTTATTAGTTGCCATTAAACTAGGCTTAGGTTTGGACTTAGGTTTGCATTGCGTGTGTTTAGTTGCATGTTTAGGATTATGTGTATTTTATTTAATCATGCTTTGCATGGTAAGATGCTTGAAGTGGGAATCTGAGTAAGTCTTCTTGTCCATCATACCATGTATGCTTGTTTGGTTGTAATACTTGTCCATAATTCAAGTTAATGTGTTTTTTATGCAAAATTATTTGTTTTGGATGTTTATAAGCATTGTTTATTTTCAGTTAAGTGTATAGCCATTAATCATAAAATCAATTTTTGTTGGAAAGTTGATTATTTTCAAAAAGATGGCTTTATTATTTAATCAAAAATAAATGATGTTTATCTTTTTTTCAAATCATCTAGTTGATTAGGGTTAACAGCTATTTCGTTAGCTTTTCGCCTTATTACACATATTTTGTTTAGTTTATCAAAACAGTATGTTTAGGCTACATAAATCATGTAATATTCATGCAAATAACCCGGTTTAATCATTGTATAATATTCAACATATTTAGCTTTTTTGTGTTGGTTGCTTTGTTTGCATTAAATCTTATTAGTTGCCATTAAACTGGGCTTAGGTTTGGGCTTAGGTTTGCATTGCGTGTGTTTAGTTGCATGTTTAGGATTATGCGTATTTTATTTAATCATGCTTTGCATGGTAAGATGCTTGAAGTGGGAATCTGAGTAAGTCTTCTTGTCCATCATACCATGTATGCTTGTTTGGTTGTAATACTTGTCCATAATTCAAGTTAATGTGTTTTTTATGCAAAATTATTTGTTTTGGATGTTTATAAGCATTGTTTATTTTCAGTTAAGTGTATAGCCATTAATCATAATATCAATTTTTGTTGGAAAGTTGATTATTTTCAAAAAGATGGCTTTATTATTTAATCAAAAATAAATGATGTTTATCTTTTTTTCAAATCATCTAGTTGATTGGGGTTAACAAAGGATTAGAGTTAATAATAAATTTTCAGGAATAATTAATTATTTAATATCATAAAATAAAAGGTTAGTAGAGGCCAATTACTTGATTGGGTAAGAGGGAATTAATGACCTTACTTCTTGTATCTAAGTTTCCGAACCAAGAATATTTGGTTGTGACAGATTAGTGCCTTTATTTAGTTTTCATTGTTAAAAGTTTCTAGTTTCACTTAAAAATTAATTGGCAACACTCTATATTGGTTAAAGCAAGTTAGCACAACATAGTGCGGAAACGGGCCCAATAACCAAAAAGGCACGACATCCACAATTGGCGACTTTGCTAGGGACTAAGCGAACTTGACTTGAAAACTTTTATTTTATGAGATTAATTAGTTAATTATTCATTGCATTGCATCATTGTGGGTTTGGAAAAACCTAGCTTGGTTAATTAATATCATAACACTTTTCGCAGGCTATATTAATGTTAACAAGAAAGTGTCAAAATTTGTTATTAGTACTGTTTGACCATCATATTGCACTCCAAGATGACATGAGAGGTATATTGATAGTCGTAACTCATGCATCGTCTTGACTAAACCTACATTAGCATATGGAAAGTTTTAGTACCTTTCAAAATAGGACATGATACTTCCCTTTCTAGGATTGTGTTGTTGCTTTTTTGTGTGATTAGTGAATCCTATATCGTTTTTTAAAACTAGGACAGGGCAACCTTAACCTGAATAGGCATAAATGCAAATTATTTACTTATATGGTATCTTGTCATGAATGGAAAGTAAGTGATTTGATTCTAAAAATCAGCGGTCAAAAAGGCATTGATTTGGTTATGAAAATCTGGGATCTAATTAGGCAGTGATTGTGATTCTGGAAATTAGTGGTAGATTAGGAAACAATTTCCTAATCATTGAATTTGAGTTGAGTTAGGTTGTCAATCTTACCATAGTCATCAATTAGGAATGATTTCCTTCCCAAAATGGAATTAAAGTAGATTTCCTATTCTATAAGAAAGTATATGATCAAGGTACAACTTCCAAGAAACAAAGGGTGAAAATAAAAAATAAATAAATCAATAAATAAAAATCCATCCTAAGTAGAATCTTGGAAATTATGGAAAGTTTTTGATTGAATGAAAATCTCTAAGTTGTTGACTTGGGGCAAATTTTGATTTTATGGAAACTTGTTAGATAAGGAAGTGATGACCAAGTCTTCCACTTTGAATAGAATTTTGAATTCTCTTAAAAGGCATTTGACTAGAAGATGATTTTTTGATTAATTTGTTGGAATAAAATCCATAATTCCTTGGAAAGATTTTAAAATGAAATTTGAGTAGAGTTTTGAAAATTATGGAAAATTTTAATTGAATAAAAATCTATGACCTATAGACTTTGGAAGGAATCTCCATTTTATGGGAAAATGTTAGACAATTAAATGGTGACCAAATCTTTCATTTTGAATAAAATTTTGATTCCCCTGAAAGATATTTAGGTAAGAGATGATTATTTGATTGATTTCTTAAAATAAAATCTGAACTCCTCGAAAATATTTTGAAAAGAAAAAGATTTTAAAAGAAAGATTTTGAAAATAAAAAATAAAAAATTTGGAAGGTGTAATTTGAATTATGTACTTTTGAATAGAATCAGGATTCCTTAAATAAATGATAATGAATGGGAAGACAATTGTTTGATTGATCATTTTGGTAAGAACCTTAATTCATCGAATGATGTTTGACAAGGAGACAGTTACTTATTCATCCACTTTGAGTAGGATTCTAATCATCAAGTAGAAAAGGGGAAAGACTTTAGATAGTCAAATCAAAATATTAGGGGAAATCTATTTTAAAATACAAAATCATATCAGAATCATAATTTGAGTCAAAATTTGGGGATCGTGAAATTTGATTGAAAATTAGAAGTTAGGGACTATGTTCGATTTGGTGGGGAGATCTAAATTTTAGCGATTATGGGTGGAGGAATCAGAACATCACATTTGTGTTTGAATGGGCCCCTAAATGCATAATCAAAATTGGGCCCAAAAACTGTGTCTCGCCTCGTTTTGACAAGTGTCGTGATCTGATGAGATGCACTCTTGATTCCAAGATTACCAAGTCAAGTGGGTCAGTCTAGAATACTTTTGTGCATCCCTTAAAAAAACATAATAATAATAGAAAACAAAAGGAGCCTAGTCCATCCAACCTAGCAAAAGTCCAGCCTAAAAGAATAATAAAATAAAAAATAAAAAACCTAATCTATCCAACCTATAAAAAGCCCAATCAACTCAGAAAAAATCCAGCCTATAAAAAATAAAAAGTCCATCCAACACAAAAAAAAAAAGAAAAAAAAAAGCTTAGCCCATCCAACTGAGAAAAGCCTGATTCGAATCGGAAAAAAAGTCAAGTTCAACGGATTAAGAAAAAGCCAGTCAAATTCTATTCACCAAGCCAAGTCAAAAAGGCCCACCTTAGTTAACCCACACAACCTAATTCAGTCCAATTGTACAAAGTTTATCCATGGTTGAACCCACATCTACTGAGATAATGAAAAATATTCATGGTTGACTTGACCTTTAGGGTTTGCACTAAGGAGTCATTTGAATTAGGGGCAATTGCTGAATGCACCTTGGAGGGACTTTTCGAACAAGGAATAACAAGGAAGAGGTTTGAAGAAGATCACCTTGGACCAATGGATGCTTGTCCCAGATTCTGTATATGGAGAGGAAAAATAGAACCCTCTTGTGTTTGAGAAAATGATAATGCTATTTTGTTAAAATTTGAGTCGTGTCGTGTCAGTAGTAGAGTCACATGTCATAGTTAGGTTTTGCTTGTTTATCTTTTCTTGAGTCTTTGAGTCGTTTATTATTTGTCGATTCGCAATCGTATACTCTCTGGCCTTCATTATATTAATAAGAGAGAGTTGGGTTTCGATCATTTAATTGTGCTTATAGCAATCCATGCGTGACCTAATAAAAACAAGAAAAGTTTTAATAATTCAATTGAGCAAGAGAATGGTGTAAATTGTCTAATGGGCTAATGAGAATCAAATTCTACTAATAAGCTCAAGTCTAAACGAATTTTGAATTGTCCTCGCAAGACGATTTGTGAGCTTTCAAATAAAATTTCTAAGAAGATGTTTCTAGACACTAACAAGGATAAATTCAAATTTGTGCATGATATTCTACACTGTTTTGGTAGTTCTCCTCACGTTTGAGTGACCACTTTGACAAACAAAAGCTATTTTCAAGCCTCGCGGTACATTCAAACCTTAAAAGGATGGATTTCATCTCCATGGCATTTCTAGTTTAAATAACAAGAGAGAGAGAGAGAGAGAGAGAGAGAGAGAGAGAGAGAGAAGACAAAAATTTACCACCAAGTTAGGAGCATCCATGGATTGAAATGTAGTCAATTATGAGGAATGAGAGTTCTGCCATCAACATTTGAAGGAGCCAATGTGAGATATCATTGCCATATGGAGAAACGAGCAACCGTTTAGAAAGCTACCATGTTCAAGTGCACAATGCAAGAAGACGCTTAAGCTCAAACCAAGGGAAAAGAAGTTAGACTGCTAGGGCAAAGGACAATTGTTGATCACACCTATTGACATTGTAGTAACACTACACATGAGAGGCTCGCTGGGCTAAAAATCCCAAAGGGCGACTCAAGAAAAACTTAGAGTAGAAAAAAATAAAAGAAATAAAAAATGAAAGAATGTGAGCTTGCAAGGCCCAAAACTCGAAAAGGGAGACCTTGACAAAAGTTAGAGCCAAAAGGGAAAGT